GACAACGTCATGCGTGGAACATTTCGGAAGTGTCGCGCAGAAGATGTCGCAATGTATCAGGAACGTGTTTCAAGTCATTTGAAGAAGATGCTACAACGTATCAGGAACATCTGGCAAGTTACTGTAAGACGAGGCAGCAGGAGTATCAGGAAGGTCGTGCAATTTACTTACAAGTAGGAAGATGTTGCAACGTATCAGGAATGTATTGCAAGCTACTTGACGAAGATGTTGCAACAACATAGCAAGAACATCATTCAAGGGACTTGAAGAAGATGTGACAAGAGTCCCCAAGTGTCCCCAAGTGTCCCCTAAACCCACCCCAAGTGTCCCCAAGTGTTAACCTAAAGGGCTGTATCCCTTGGAGTTGGTTCCCTAAGCCCACCCCAAGTGTCCCCAAGTGTCCCCTAAACCCACCCCGAGTGTCCCCGAGTGTCCCCAAGTGTTAACCAAAAGGGCTGTATCCCTTGGAGTTGGTTCCCTAAGCCCACCCCAAGTGTCCCCAAGTGTCCCCAAAACCCACCCCAAGTGTCCCCTAAACCCACCCCAAGTGTCCCCAAGTGTTAACCTAAAGGTCTGTACCCCATGGAGTTAACTCTGAAGTCAACATACAAAATGTCGGCTTATAATGAGTAAAAAAGTCGGCTTAAATGAGTCTCGGACCTCACAGAACATGTTTTGGTGCTTGAAATGTTTCAACAGTTTTCAGACACTCAAACTTATTTGAACAAACAAACCATGTCTTGATGTAAAGACTTTTTGTGACGACGTGTGTTTTTGATCGCTTTTGTGAAGTTGGCAGAAAGGTGCTAACTGGCGACTCCGCATCTGTTTTGTGTCAAGGAGTGACACACCAACAAGAACCATAGCGACATGAGCTAACACGTCTCTTGTGTGTTGTGGTAAAAGTGGCTGAGCTCTGGGATCGGTTGACTTGGTTGCGTGGACGGTCTTTTAGTGTGTGTTAAGGACGACGTCCTGGACGCTGACCCAAGTAGGTCTAGAGGTTTCGAAGGTTAGAGTTACCTTCCGCAACTTCTTTGTCAGCACGCATCACTTGTGCGCGACCGCCTGAAAGAAGGCGGCGGCTCTGCAGATAAATGTCGTAGCAAGCGCTCCCTATGAAACTGATTAAATTTGCATTCTTTCACACTTAAGCTGCCTGCATCAACTTGAGCTTTTTGTCAGAGCAGCCTGAAGACATCTCTGTCTCGCGACTCGTGCATCTTGTTGGTTCTCAAGTCTTGGAACCTCTGTCGCATCTGATCCATTCTTGCTGTCTTCTCTGCGAAAGGAATTGCTTTAGGTGTTGCAGTATCAGGGGTTTCAACTGTCGACCTGATAGTGGAAGTCATAATCACTTCGCACTCATAGTGCAGCCTGCGCACACTTGGCATCGTCGAAAGATAGCAAAAGCCAATGCCCAACAGTCGTGATGCCTTCTCTTCGCAACGCCTGCAGAAGCTCATTTGGTACATTCACGCGCCCTTGATTCAAAGTGCGCTTGACTGTCCACAATTCCAGCAATCTTGCACCAGAAACTCACGCAAATGAAAATTTTCTCCTACAAGTTGACACACAACTCGCACATTGGCATGACATGAAGGGTGGAAGAAGTGCAATGATCACACGACATCAAGACAACAAATCACATGTTGAAAACAACTCACGCAAATGAGATCTCAAGAAAAACATTTGTGATTGAAAAATCACTTTCAATTTCCAACAAGCTGGACAACCTAGCATCTGAATGACTGCGCAAGCAGTCTATTGCGGCTGCAAACCGCTTCTTTGTCGCGGTGGGTAACCACTGGATCAGGAAGTGTCCGCAAAACACTTTTCGCATTGCGTCGCTCATGAATCACCAAAGTTTTTCCATTGATGGAAAACTTGACAGTGGCCGGCACCGAAGGCTGTGAGGAAGACTCGCCCACTCCATCTCGTCGCTGTTCGGCAATGAACCATCACTTGTTCCACTAGAGTTATCGTCCCAGTTCTCCATCAGGTTTGGAGGGTCGCGTGAGCTTAGGGCCACAAGTCAAGAGCTCTTGCAGTCCACCTTCTGCCATGATCTAGGTGTCTCAGGAAGCGGGTTGGGGATGGCACCACGCTTCTTTTTCTGTGGTCATGTCCTTCTGCACAGTCGGCAGTGCATGGTGTGGTTGCACTCTGTACCGCTTCGCCATCTCTTTCTCATCACTAGTACTCGGCTTGCTCGACGCTCCAGACGCTGCAACAGCGCATGCAGACCAGCAAATGTCTGGAGAATCTGACACCTTCCTATCGCCCATAGCTGAGAGCCCACAATGTGGTGGAACCTCCCTCGTGTTCTACAAGGCCAATGGAAGAGATCTAACTCGTCTTCAACTTGAGAGATGTGGAGATCAAACCAATGGCTGGTCGTGAACTCGCCCGTGACTGCCAGTTCGATCTGGGTGACCTGTACACGGGGTCACGCGCACTGATCGAGATTGCTGAATGGTTAGACGACCTGAAGAGAACCGCCATTCGAATGAGATCCACAATGGCCGATGGGGTTGAGACGCCGACGAGAATGATTGGAGGGGATGCCAGATAATTGAGGTTATTTCTGTGTGAAAGGCAGAGAAATCTGCACAAGGGAATTGCCTTGTCATATGATTGAGTTCAAGACGAGATCTTTCAGTGATGCGAGCTGTATACACACACATCATGTTGTGTTTTGTGAAGGGACTCTGCACTGACTGTGATTGCATTAGTCGTCCTCGTGGTGCAGTTGGTATCGCGGCACTCTTGTGTCGCTGACAGACTGCCGGTGGTGGTTCGATTCCCCGCTGGTCCGCGAGTGAGACTCAAGACCGTACTAGGGAGGCCCTTTTGAGCGAAGCCGGTTTTGAGAAGGTTTTCCGGACCCAGAATTGGGTCCGTCGGAGCAAGCAGTTTTGTAGATTTTGTTCCTTGTTGGGGCAAGCGGGGTGCATATCCGTTGCCGCTTGAACCCGGTGGAAGTTAGCTTCTTATTATTTGGTTTCGTCTGGTGGCTTGATTGTTTGCTGCTAAAAGAAGGCCCATCAGCCTTTTGCAGCGTTAGGTGATTGCTTGAGGTGTTTCTTGTTGTTGCGGAGTTTGCGGGTTTTCGCGCAGGTGGCCGGCTTCCATTTGGATGATTGTATTGAATACTTTACTGCCCCTTGTTGGCCCCCCTTGCCCCCTCTAGACTCCTACCGAAGTTTTCAGCCCGGACAGAAGATGAATCATGATCTTTCAGTCAATTCCGTTATTAATTTATAGTATAAATTTAAAATGGGATGGAGTAAGAATCTGCTTAGGGAAAGATGTGGGAAGGTGAAGTATTGAAGGCTTTCTTACTCCGTCATCGTTTCGATATCGTGTCAATTACATTGGGTAATTGAATTGCAACATAGCACGGAGTAGCGGAGTAGCGCGGAGTAGCGCGGAGCAGCGAAGGATTGGTGTATACATCAGGAGGAGGAAAGTTTTTTCCCGTTTAGCGTCTTATAAGCGCTATAAGCATCATGATCCTCAGCCGCGGATTAATTAGCCTCATTTCGCGTGGCCTGCGTGGCGGATCGTATTTCAAGTCGGAATAAAGTAAAAGTCTTTTAAAGCAAACCAGCTGATCCGCGATCCGCCATGTGATTCATATGAGACCTGTCAGGAGTCTAAGGGGAGAGGGTTGCTGTAGCTAGTCAAGAGGAAAAACTTTTGTCCTGGTGTTGTATGTTGCCTGGGTCGTGCTGCATCGCAATCGCCACATTGGAGCCAGTGAATGGAGACAGCTGATACCACATGTGCGCTTTCAGGTTCCATTTTTGGGGCCGGAAAGTCAATTGAAATCAGGCTTCGCATGTGCGGGCCTCCTCTGTTCCAAATCTATATGCTTTTTGCTTAAATAAACGCAGTTGTATTTTTGTTCGGACGGGTCGGGCTTTGCCGTTGATTTTGCGATTTTGCGGTGTCATTTTTGGTACCGCCAGACGGTCCCAAAAATGGGACCGTGAAAATGTTTTCCTTTTGTTCTTTTACTAAGCTGTGCATGCGGTCCCAAAAATGGGACCGCCAGGCGGTCCCATTTTTGGGACCGTGTTTAGGTTCATTTTTGTAAAGTTTTTTTGCATCAGGGTTGAAGAAGCGCAATGTTTTGGTGTCAACAGAAACTTTGTGGCTTTTGGCGACCGGAAAGGCAACTGTAGACCCGCCGAAAGGCAACGGGCTCGGACAAAAAAACACTGACTGTGATTGCATTCGTTCAGATCGGAAAGGATCTTTATGATTTTGTTTGTGTGCTTTTGTTTTGGAAGTTCATGGTGAGATTGGAAGACAGTCTGTGAACTCCTCTGGATGGGAGTGGTGTAGGGATATGGTTTTGGATGACGCCGCCATTGCTACAGAAGGAGGGACCAAACTTTGCTCTGGCAGCAGCGGCCATTTATCCCCCGTACCACAGGTTCTCACGCAGCTCGATCTCGAGCGCCATGTATGGCAGCAGGCGGCCGGCCTGGACCTATGGGGACCTCGCCTGTTAAGGCACCACCTGTTCCTCATGAGACCATGCCATCTTTTGCAGCACCAGCTGCACCTTTGACTCCAGCTACCCCTGCGGCATCGGTACCACCATCAGCGGGAACACCGTCAAGTGGCTCAGGGAGTTTCCTCCGCCAACGGGACCGTCGTTGGCGTTCATGCCGGGGTACGCAGCGACTGCTCGAGCTGGAGGAGGTGGTGAGGGCGGCCTTCGTCGTGAACTGTATCCACCACCACATGAATTGGAACAGGGTGTGTTTCTGGGATTCAACTCATCACAGCACCGAATATGTGTCCAGATGAGGTCACCAATCCCCCAATGGTCCATGAGTTACCGGTGGAAACTTCTGGTTTCATAAGCCATCGGGTTTTGGGGACGTCTACACTGCTTTTGTGCTGGGTTTCTTCCCTCTTGTAGCTCGTATCTTAAAAGGGAAGGAAACGCGCGGAAAATGATGCTTTGGAAGCTGTTTTGACTCAAATGTCAACTCGCCGCTGTGGTTTGAGCCGCAGAGGCCGTCTTGTTGTTGTCGTTGTCGTTGTCGTTGCCGTCGTCGTCGTCGTCGTGGTGGTGGTGGTGGTGGTTGTTGTTGTTGTTGTTGTTGTTGGGTTGTGGTTGTGGTTTTGGCACAACTGCTTCAAGGGACCTGCAGGTGATTTTGACGGGAAACAATTGTAAACTACGTGCATGAAGTATCATGAAGTGCAAACTGCACAGTGTTTGTTTGTTGATTCTGCTGGTCTTTAACATGATGACCTTGTCTTGGTTCAAGCACAGCAGCTGTAATTCACCATGGTATGGGGTCAACCACTCATACATACGTTGGTTTGTCCCGTAGACTCGTAGCGTTTATCCCAAGAACTGGGTGAAATTAACATGACAATTGGTTCACCACATGCCAAGTGGGTTTGCAGAACTGCAGGTGGCCAGCTGAACTCTGTGGTTTGTTTCTTCATTGGCACCATACTTGTTTGGGATTCTGACAGGACGCTTGGTGGCTTGATATAATTGAACATTTACCAGAAACCCATTTTTCTAAAATCCAATATTGCTATGTGCGGATTTCTCCTGAAACCAGTTTTGGGAGACGAAGTTGGCAACAAAGACCTTCCAGTGGTGTTGGTGGTTGTATTTTCTCCCATTTTGAAGCTGGACGAGTGACCCGGCCCATGGGTGCCCTCAAAGGAGGTGGAAAGATGGTCGGTTGTGCTGTTTTGGGACCCAAGTGCTAGCTGTAACGACCACCCTTGAACCAGGCCTATTGATTCTGGGTCGGCTCATTTGCAGGACGTTTGTACCCCAGAATCTCACTGCCGAGACGCAGAGGGTCGCTCTTGGGTCGGGTTCAGCCGGTTAATCGCAGGGCTACCGGGTTAGATAGTTTGTTGTCGTGAAGTCGGAGGTCTTTTCTCTGGTTTTCCAACTCTTTGACGGTCTAATCTGTTCTTCAAAGTACATATTCAGGTTGGTGGTTTGAAACATGAAATTTATTTTTCCATATATTGGGAATAATAAACCCAACTGACCAAACCTTTTCAGATGGGTTGGTATACCACCAACCAGTATTGGGATCACTGACACTGAAGTAAACCGCTTGTTCTATGGTGAGGTGAAATCACATTTTTTTTTACTGCCATTTTACTTTGCCCGTCGTATTATAGTCAGACTACTTAGTTGGGTTGTCTCAACGTTACAATGCGTGCCATTAACAATTTTTCATGATCATGTATATTTCGAGACTTCTGTTAAATAACGAAATGGGAAAAACTCTTGCAACGAATTTGCTCATGCTCAGTTTTCTTTTTTAGTAACAGGGCGATACACATCCCGAATTTTTGTTGATGATCATAATAATGGGAATCCCCTATTGATGACCCAACCAGTATATTATAATTTCGAGATTTTCGACTATACAAATCCCAGTCGACTCACCATTGGATCACCATTTTCATTGAGTAAATCAGTGTCATGAGCAGGTTTTTGTGGATGGCGACTGCGTGCCGAAGCCGTTCTTTGCTTGGTTGAGGAGACATGGGGTGGAAACATCCGGTGAAGCATAGCCACCATAGCCACATCCAAGGACTTGGCAATTTGTGAACATGGTTAGTCTTTTCCTTATGGCCAAAAGATGCGAATAATGCTGGGGGATATTTCCAGAGAAATTTTTGTAGACCCTGAAAACGAACATCCAACTTGGGTAACATATGATAACACGCAACCGCACACAAGGAGGTCTCAAGCATGATTTCTTCCTTTTACTCCACAGAAAATATTGGTCAATTTGGGATTTGAGTGGTTGAACTTTGGAGGGTTTGTTGGTTGTGTTTCTTTACAGTGCCACGTCCATCTTTGGTGCTCGTTTGAGCTCCTGACCATATTGTGTTGTTAAAATTCCTCTGGACATCCATTGGTTCATGGGCGTTGGAATATCGAGTGGATGGAATCTACCTTTTTTTTCAATTCACAGGATCGGTAGAATGGGATTCGAACAATAGCAATCTTCCCATTTACATGGAATTCCTGGATGAAATCTGAATCTACCCAATAAAAACAGGTCATGTCCACGATTTTTGAGTAGGCAGTTGTCGCGACAGTCACCTGTGGCAGCTATCGTGGCACCTTGGCCGTTCCAGGGCTTGGTTCAGACTTAAGTCACGGGCATTCCCTTCGCATGTGATTAAAAACTTGGGGCGGCCACGCAATGATCTTGTTTCTCTTGGGTATATGCAGTGATAATATATATACAGTATGTACCTACGGCCCGGGTGTAAAGATGTTGCTGAGTTTTTTTCTCTGTAGTGTATGGGCTTAAGCTCCCAAACCCTCCCTCCCGAGAGTTCTGCTCTTGGAAAGAAGCAGGGAGGCAAAGGACGCAAGCGTGTCAAAATGCATTTTTCAGTGTTTTGTCTCAGGGGGGACTACTGTTTTTCAACGTGGCAAGAAACCAGGAGGTGTGGCTCGGTTTACCTGTCAGTGAAATGGGGCAAAGCTCATTCACCCTGGGTGTGGCCGGGTGTTTTGAGGAGATGCTGCCAGGGAGCTGGCTGGTAGTCCTGTTCCGTTATGTTCGGATTTATTTCATATTAATTTTGACAAATTTGCTGCGAAGTGAGAAAACAACCGCACAGCTGTTCATCTTTATATATGGTTGGCTTCAACTTGTTGTTGCCTTTGTTTGTTGCGAGTAGTGAGCGCGCGAACGAACCGCATGCAAAAAAAAAAGTGAAAATGAAACAACTTGTATTTGCAACGTTTCGTGTTTTGAGTTCTGTCTCTCGTAAACCAGTACTTGTCACTTGTTTGAAGTTTATGAGTTTTTTTTTCATCTGTTTATCTTTCAGATGCTGATGTTCACCTTGGCCTCAGTTGGGTACATCTTGATTTTATGTCCCGTGTTATTTTGGCTAGGGTGAGGAGGGTGGGTTGCACGTTGACCCGTTTGATTTTCCTTCAGCCATGGATTCGAATTTGTCCACTGCTTGATTTTGGAAGATTTTGCAACTGCGGAACGTGCTATCACTGTCACAGTTTGTTTCCATAGTTACATGTCTGCACTTCGAACTTATGGTGCTTCAGCAATCATTGCCGCGCAGTGCTGCAAATGAACTGTTTCTTGCAGTTGACAGTGCTGGTGAGCCTGACCTACAGGGGAACAACGAAGGCCACAGCGACATGGACTGGGAGCAATTACATGACAATAATGACAATGTTTTGGACAACGATGATTTCGATTTTGCATCTAATGTATATGATGAGACCACTTTTGATGATGCGGACAATGAATTTCCTCTTGAACACGTTCATGAAGAATCTCTGCCTTCACTGAGTATGGACGAACCTGCTGAGGATTTTCTTCAGCAGGGTGGCTTTGTGATGCCTACCCCTAAGGCTCATGCGGGTGGGAAATCCAGGCAGGCGGTGGACATGGACGTGAGTCGAACAATCAACAACCTCGTCATGCACAGCGTTGCTGAGTCACCTAATTTACCTGCACCTTTCTGGAACCAATTGGAGTTTGATCACGTTTATTCACTGGACAGTATTTGGAGGCAACCTCAACTGCCATCTTATGGACGTTTTGAAGCTGTCCATGGAATAGTGCACAGCGCCCCAAGTGTACCTGATGACCCACCGCATGGGCTTTCTGATTTCAAGCGGAAGCGACTGCTGGCAACAGCCTTTGCAAAGACAGACGATCAATTGGTGGATTGCGCAATGCGACAGCTCAAGGAAATCGTCCTTTTCCAACCCCAAGACTCTAGGTTGGGCAGGGCACTGCTGGATGTGTCTGGGAGGTTGGTGCCGGAGACTGCAATTGCAACTTCATTCATCGATGCAGTGGCTGGAAAGGCACCTGGTACAATAGCCAAGCGTGTCGCTGACTATCACCGTTTTGCCAGGTGGGCAGTTGACGGTGGGCGGTGCTATCCAATGAATATTTCAGAAACAGTGGTGTATGACTATGCAAAGCATTTGCAGATGTCAGGAGGATCTGCAACATCACTCCAGTCCTTCATAAAGGCGATTGGCTTCTTTGAGCACCACATTGGTTTTGCAAAAGTCGATGTGGCACACATCATATCTGGCCGCGTTGCAGGAGTGAGCAGAACCATGCTTGCAGGGAAACAGGAGCTGAAGCAAGCGCCTCCACTGACTGCAGATGGATTGTATGCGCTTGAGAAGTACGTTTGCAACTGCAACGATGTGGAGGCATGCATTGGAGGCTTCTTAATTTTCTGCTTGCTGGCGTCTGCAAGGTTTGCTGATGCGGCGAGAGCGGAGTCGGTGCATTTGGACATGAGTGGCCATATTTCACTGCTGGAGACGTCAACAATGACATTTAAGACGGCTCACACTGCTGGGAAGGAAGCAAGGAATGTTGCCCTCCCAATGTTGGCATTGGGGAATGGTCTGTACGAACAAGACTCATGGGCATGGACGTGGATCCGTGCGAGAAAAGACAAAAGCTGGATGATTTCAAGTGCTTGATGCCGGCCTGGAATGAAACTACATCATCGTGGCTGAACCGCCCCATGACATCGGGCGAGAGTGCATACTTTTTGAGGGAGCTGCTTTGCCTGTCAGGTATGGACGTTGCACAAGCGGCCACATACAGCACACACACGTTGAAAGCAACTGCACTTTCATGGGCGGCAACATCAGGTGCCATGACAATTGATGAGAGGCGAATCATGGGCCACCATTTTGACTCCAGACTGGCCATGCCTTTGATATACTCACGTGATGCACTGGCAGAAATCCAAACCAAACTGTGGCGCGTTTTGGACGCCATACGGAAGGGTTATTTTGACCCTGACTCGTCACGTGCGGCTCGAATTGCTGCCCAGACACTTCAAGAGGCTGAACATTGGGACATGGAGAACTACTCAGACGAGTCAGTCGACCCCATGGAGATTGGTGCATGTGAATCGCTGCCTGCACCTCAGAACAAGAAGGCACCTCACAGTGGACCATTGACTGAAGAAATTTTCAAGTCTTGTTTGCAGCACATTGTATCAGGAATTTTACACGTAGCACTTGACATGGAAAATTTGGCATGTTCAAGGAAGGTCTCTTCCAACTATAAGAAGCCCACTTTTGATTTTGAGACCGCTTGTGATTTCCCATTTTGTGTTCAGTGTGCACAACACTCGTGATTGCGAGTGCAACTGCGCGATTGAAGCGAGACTTGGAGCTGCGGAGTAACAAATCAGGTGGGGACCGTGCTTTCTGAGACCTGTAATTTTCCGTTTGGTTTGGGATTTTAGGGGGCGACTTTTTGTCCTGTTTTTGGGACCCTTTTTGGGCGCAAAAAGTCGCCCTTTTTAACCCCTTTTCGCAGTGCCAAACCAACGGGAAAATTACCATCTGAGACACTTTGCCATGTGAATTTTAAATTGTTGTCCGGCTGACCTTTTCATCTGTCGCAGTATGATTTTTACTGGCGATGCTGGGCATGAGAGAATTTGAAAACGGCAACATGAAACTGGTTGTTTGATCTGATGCTTGACCTGCTCAGAGTCGGCGCGTGAAATTGCGCGACACCAGAACTCCGATCGGCATTTGTCGGGGCCTGGTTTGATGATCTTCATTCATTTCAGTGCAGTTCAGAATTTTGTGCAATATGATTTTTTATTGCTTGAACTGTTTGTCATGACTTTGACACTTCCTGTCCTTCAAGACTCTCAACCCACACTCCATGTTGAAACTCCCTGTTTTAAGGTTGGATAATACATGACACTTTTCGTTGTTTACCTCTGCAACGTTGCTGCCATGTCCGGACTTGACTCCAAACATGCTTTTACCTCGCGAGCGATCGAGCTGTGGATGCAAGAAGAGCTGTTGGAAAAGCTCAAAGGCGCAGGCCTCGATACATTTGGTAGTTTGGCTTTCTCTAGCGATGCAACGCCAACTTCAAACACTGAAGAAAAGTTCAAGAAAGCAATTCAAGACTTGATCATGGTCGAAGTCTCCACTGCTGACATGATTCCTCTTCGTAGAATGTGGTTTGAAGCGCACGCCATGGTGCTGTCAGATATTAGATGCAGGGCTGAAAGGACAGAAGCCGATCAGCCTAGGAAAATGCCTCTTGCATGCAGAGAGGCCTGCGAGGAGCGACAAGCAGAAAAACGAGCTGAAAGGCCTGGTCATTGATGCAACAGTTGAGCCAAGCCATGGACTGGTCGACAAGTTTCAAAACATGATCGAAGAGGGCTGCTTGCTTTATGTGGGCCCTGAGAAGTGCATGTCGCGTGAAGAGGAAATAACCAAGGAAAAGAAGGAGTCAACTCTCAGCATTGACAATGCTGGTGGCCTCAAGCTCACCAAGAAAGCCCAGGACTTACAATGTGATGTCTCAGGAGAGCTCAGGTTGAGGGCCGCCTTCACTCGGCGTTCACTGGCAATGCATCAGACCAATCTGGTGACCTTTGATTTGATTGAAGAGTGGAATCAACAAATGTTTGCGGCACTGTTGCGACCGCCACCAGCAGGGCACAAGTACGTGACCACGCAGCAAATTTTGAGTGCTGACAAGCAGCTGTGGCTGCACGTCTCCCAGCAGACACGTGGCAAACTGACTTCCGGCATAGGCGACAAGCCTCCTTTGGATGAACATCTGAAGACGTACATGAGGTCTCCGGAAGTTCTTTGCTTCATGACTCCTTTGCCATCTATGTGTGAGTGCAGGCCCATCTCACCGCTCTGAGCCATACAGCAAAGCGGACCACAGCAGTGGGTCCGGGAAGGGCAAAGGCAAAAATCGTTTTCAGTCAAAGGGGTCGTCGTCGGCTCCAAGCAATGGCCCGACGATCAAAGAGATGCTGACAAACATGCCGGATGGTTGCACCAGCAAGCTTCCAAATGGACAGTGGCTGTGCGTGTTCTTCAATAGAGGCATTTGCAAGCACTAGAAAAAGCCACGCTGTCACCTAGGACTGCACCAGTGCTACTACAAGGGTTGCACTGAGAAGCGGCCTTACATTGAGTGTAAGCACTGACTCGGCATGTCGTTGCAAGATGACAGCAGTTATCACCATGCAGAAGACAGACCAACAGTCTTTTTGGAAATTTGTGCGGGCTCAGCTGCACTTTCAGCGGCTATGCAGCGGAAGGGCTGGCAAGTTTTTCCAATTGATTACCATGCCAATCGTTTCAAAAACAAGGTGCATATTTTTGAGCTGGACCTGTCTTTGCATGATAGTGTTTCCCTCCTTGAAAGCTTGATCGAACAGATGAGGCCAAAAGGGGCCCATTTTGGGCTTATGTGTGGCACGTGCAGCAGGGCACGAGAGGTCCCTGTTGCTCGTGCTCTCCGCTCCCAAGGAGCACCTTCACCAATGCCACTCCGTGACGCGCTGCACCCACTAGGCCTACCAAACGTGGGCCCTATGAATCAGCAGAGAATTGATGCGGCCAACACTGTTTATCGACATGCAGTGCGTTTGTTGTTTGCACTTTTTCGCATCGGAGCTTTTGTAACACTGGAGAACCCGCTGCGATCATGGTTGTGGACAGTGCTGGCCACCCTCGTCAAACAGTTTGCGCGTGACAAAAATTGTCCAGAATTTTTGGAGTGGTATTTTCGTTTTCACCCGATTGAGTTTGATTTTTGCATGCATGGTGGAAGTAGAGCGAAGTCAACAAGGCTGCTGGCATCAACTCAGAAGTTTGCGCCACTGGGAATTATGTGCGACAAATCGCACAGTCATGAACCTTGGACCATTGTTGACGGCTTTGATAAATGGATCTTCTCCACAGCTGCGGAGGCTCAGTACCCCATGTTGTTTTGTGAGCGATATGCAGAATGTGCCAGTACACTGGTTACCCAGCATGATTTGGATTACACATCAAACTTTTTCCGTTTGCAGTCATTGATGGCCCAATCAATCCAAACGAAAGGCCATGACCAATTGATCCCTGAATTTGCCCTCATCACTGTCACAACATCACTTCCAAAGAGCCCTCACAAACTCTTGGCTCGCCTGGGACGCGGGGGGAATGATGGCGAGGGATCCGAAGAAAGATACAAGGTGGGCATTTATTTTAACCACCAAGAACATCTGCAGAAGGCGTTAAGCTTACATCACCCGGCTTTCACCCACAAAGGGGTGCCTGATGATTTGAAGAGGGCTGTTTTCTTTGTGGCAACGCACTCTCTGGCAGAGGTAGCTTCCCACCGTATAAACATGTTGTCCGAATGTGTTGGCATTGCAAAGCGCCTGACCCTTGCGGAGAAGCTGGCAAAAATCAAGATGGACAAGAACGTGGCCGAGGTCACAAAGGCGAAACGTATTGAGCTTTGGGAAAAACTGCTGACAATTGTGGGATTTGAAGACATGGAGGTTGTACAATACATGCGTGAAGGAGTCACGCTCACTGGATGGGAAGACGAAAGCAAGTTGTACAAAAAACGTTGGAACCCACCGTCAATGACGACACAGCAACTGGATCACAGCGCCTTGTGGCGCCGGAAAGCGCTGATGGGTAAGCCGCCAACCGAGGACGAAATCAGGAATGCAAAACAGCTGATGGACGAAACTACGAAAGAGGTTGACGCTGGTTTTTTGGACGGCCCCTTTCTTGAGGACGAGGTAACTGAGATGCTGGGCAGGCCGGACTGGTCGATGTCCCAACGTTTCCTTCTTTTGCAGGGGGAGGACCTCAAGCCACGTGTCATTGACAACTACAAGACTTCTGGGGTGAATGCGGCTTTTGGGACATCATCTCACCTTGACTTACATGACACGGATATGATAAGCTGCTTCCTGGCCTTTATGTTGGGGGTCTTCTGCGGGGATGGAGCAATTGACATCGAGCTTTCTGGCGGCGACCATCTTGTTGGCAGGAGACACTCTGACTACGACGACAAACCCTTGCTGCTGGGTAGAGGCGTTGATTTGAGCAAAGCCTACAAACAAGTGGGCGTCGCTCCACAGTCGGCGAGGCATAGCATTCTGGGGGTGCGAAGCGAGACTGGTGTGTGGAAGTTCTTCTTTTCGAAGTCACTTCCTTTTGGGGCGACTTCGAGCGTCTTTGCTTTCAACAAGATCACACGAGGCATTTGGACGATACTGGTCCGCAAATTTCACCTCCTCACAACTGTTTTCTATGATGATTTTCCAATGCTGGAGTTTGACCCTATGGCGGCGACAACAACCAATGTGGTGCAACACCTTTTAGATTTGCTTGGGTGGAAGCATGCCACGACCGGGAAAAAGAGTGTGGACTTCTCGGGCACCATGCAGGTGCTGGGTGTCTCATTTAATTTGGAAAGTTTCTGGGACAATCAGATAACGGTTGCAAACCGTCCAAGTAGGGTGCAACGGATTTTGGAAATGCTTGCGTCCTATTCAAACAAAGGGACGGTATCAATCTCGGAGGCAGCTACAATGCATGGACTGCTGAACTACGCGGGCGGATTTGTTGTGGGGCGTTGTTTGAAGCCAGCGGCCCGACAATTTGGAAATATGCAATGTGGTTCAACAGATGCAGCTTTCATTTCACGTCTTTGCCGTGACACCGGCGAAATCATCAACAGAATGAGACCACGCCAGATACGATACTTGAGCAATGATTTCCCGGCAGTGATATACACAGATGGAGCACTTGAAAAGGAACAAGGAACTTGGGGAGCGGTAGTCATGATACCGCAGCTTGGCATCAATGCTATTCACTGGGGCGTCGTGGACGCTGGCCTGATGCGACACTGGACATCATTGGGTCTTCAACAGAAGATATGCCAGATTGAACTCCTTCCAGTTTTGCTCGTGAAGTATTTCTACCGTCGTGAACTTGCCAATGCTTCAGCTTTATTTTTCGTTGACAACGAGGCTGCCCGATACTGCCTTATCAAAGGGTCAAGCCCGTCTTTGACAATGTACAACTTGTGCAGAGCAGTGTCACATATTGAAGCTGAACACCCCGCGGCTTCATGGTACGAAAGGGTGGCATCGGAATCCAACATTGCCGACTTGCCATCCAGGTTCAAACTGAAAGAGTGTCAGCAGATCACGAGAGGCAGCCTGGCCGGTGACATTCTCTTGCCCCCGGAAACAATAGCAGAAATTACTAACAAAGAAAATCCTAACATGTCGAAAACACGGGGGTGACGGGCGACATGACTTGTTGACCTGTATGCGAATTCCCAAACACCTGACTTGTGTTTGTGCTGTTTCACCCCCGACTCAAATTAATTTGAGCTGAACAAAAAGAAATATCAATGACCGCAGCGGATTGCAAACTTTTCTGGTCACATCAGGATTGCGAACGTCGTTTCATTTTGATTTTATATATATATATATTTATATATATGATGAATTTTATATTTACTTGTTGCGATACGAGTTTGTTTGATTTATGAAGTCAGATCCTTGCAAAGGGACGAGCACAAACGGTTGGCTTCAACTTGTTGTTGCCTTTGTTTGTTGCGAGTAGTGAGCGCGCGAACGAACCGCATGCAAAAAAAAAGTGAAAATGAAACAACTTGTATTTGCAACGTTTCGTGTTTTGAGTTCTGTCTCTCGTAAACCAGTACTTGTCACTTGTTTGAAGTTTATGAGTTTTTTTTTCATCTGTTTATCTTTCAGATGCTGATGTTCACCTTGGCCTCAGTTGGGTACATCTTGATTTTATGTCCCGTGTTATTTTGGCTAGGGTGAGGAGGGTGGGTTGCACGTTGACCCGTTTGATTTTCCTTCCCCTCCCAAACTTCGTTTTCCCTCCCTTGTCTTGGGGGGGGTGACGGGCGACATGACTTGTTGACCTGTATGCGAATTCCCAAACACCTGACTTGTGTTTGTGCTGTTTCACCCCCGACTCAAATTAATTTGAGCTGAACAAAAAGAAATATCAATGACCGCAGCGGATTGCAAACTTTTCTGGTCGCATCAGGATTGCGAACGTCGTTTCATTTTGATTTTATATATATATATATTTATATATGATGAATTTTATATTTACTTGTTGCGATACGAGTTTGTTTGATTTATGAAGTCAGATCCTTGCAAAGGGACGAGCACAAACATATATATATTATGTATGTATAACTGCACCTGGTATATGAATCCTTTTATGTTATATATTTGGCGGTTGCTTCATACGTATGACTTGTCCCAGCAAGTTTGGTAGGTCGGTGATGATTCCGAGGCATTTAAAGGCAAGACCTCGAATGGAGACAAGGCTTTGAGCCAGGACCCTTCCCCAATTTTTGACGCTTGAGGTACTGGTGTGGTGTTTGATCTGAATGTGTTCTCTTGAGAAATTTTGGCATGTCCCAACTCAGATTGACTACTGTTTCAACGGGCCAGTCATGATGTTGATGACTCTGATGTGAGGAAGCATATCTACGCGAGAATTTGCTCAAAGCTGGCATCGATGATTCCCTTCTTTTGCTACAACCAAGTGTGTTGCTTGTCATCATGCGACGACGAAACTGGATTTGGGCCCCTTTGCAAAGGTAGAGACCCAGATCATTGGAGAGATGTAGACCCAATTTGAACTTGATGCTAGATGCACCGCAGAATATACACCTCATGTTGCTCATAGCATTGTGCCACTTCGTGTTGGCATTTTTCAAACAAAAACCAGTGGCCATTTTCGTCGTTTGCGGTGTATCTCCCAAGGACAGGAGCAGAGAGACTTGGTTTTTTTACTTGGCCGCTGGGGTTGACATGGGTTCCCTCCTGCTGCGAAAGCTGATCTGCTGAGACCTCTAAATCCATGGCGCATCCACCGGAATTTGGGGGCAAACATTTGCTTCGCAAGCTGAAGCATCACTGAATCAAATTCCAAGGTTTCATGAAGGTTTTCGTGAGCAGCCGTTCTCAGGAAACGATTTGTACCAACTGTTGTCCAAAACAAGTACAAGCCACATGAAACCCTCTGAACGTTTCTGGTTTGCAGGCAAAATATTCGTCAGAGGGCAAGCAGATTTGGTTCTTTGATCTTTTGACAGGATGTACAGGAACCGTCCCTGTCTGCGGCAAAAACCAAGGCTTACCAAGGGTTTCCTGTAGCATTTCCCAACCAACTCGATCCATCAATTAATTTAGGTAGCCAGCTTTGAATTCAAATGCGCACGTGAAGGAAAAAAAAGGGGCATTGTTTACTGTACTAAGCAGACTATAGAAGCATCTATGTTTTTGAAGTAGCCAAGTTTGATTCATACTCAAAGAGTGCTCGGGTCGCCGATTGAGGAATGCGGCAGACGTTGTTTTGACCTTTCTCTTTGCGCGCTATGGAGGCTTGAAGAACTACATAGCGCCTCGGCGGAAGGTAAGATAGAAAAGTCGGAAGCCTGGAAAACATGGTGGAAAATATCATCAAAAAACCATCCTGGAAACACTTAATTCTATATTTTGGGAGATTATTGCTAAACAAAGATGGGAATATTTTGTGGGATTGAACACCCAAATCAAATCGGTACTGGGGGTTAGTGACAGGGTCCTCCAAGCAGGGGATCTCCGGAAAAAGATTCGTCAGTTGACTCCCAGTTGTGGACTCTTTCAGGGTGATTCATTCAGGTTGACAATTCTTCTGGATGTGGATCAGGTTTTATAGCCCAGCATCGCTGCCGCTAAGGTTTCAGATGACCGGCAGTGGTTCAAGGCGGGTCCCATGGGAATCATAGCGGTGGCACTGGGAAATCCGAAAATGGACTGAGAAAATCATCGAACTTTTTATTGGGGATTTTCTTGCAAGCTATGTTTGATCGCCAGAGGTTGATTTTGTTGTATAAAATTGTAACAGTAAATTCTAGCTAGAAGTGGTACAATACCATGCCCAGCTAGTGAATTTTGTCATTCGGCTCCACTTTGGGTGTTTTGTTTCTATTGGAAATTCAGCCAATTGGATACTACAATTTTTTGACCACAAATTTGGTCATGCATTCTCTAAGTTTCCAAAGTTCGGAATGGGACTCCTCGTTTTAGCTGGGAACAGGAGATTAGGCCAAGCACACACCAATGAATTTTCCATCGATTTTCGGTGGGGGTTTCGTTGGGCCGGACTTGAAGATCCGGCCTTGAGCCCCATCCCATTTTTTGGGGAACTGATCATCCTGTTCATGGCGACGGTAGCATGACCCGGTCGTCAAATCCATAGCCAGAAGTTATCTACCCAACATATGATGATATGTTGTCCTGTCCCATGGATGGTGTACCTGCAGGAGATCACCATCAACTCATATTTTCTTTAATAAAACAGCAATACCCTCTGGTAAACTAACATAGCTGTGGAAAGATCCACCATTTTTAATGGGAAAATCAACTATTTCTATGGCCATTTTGAGTAGCTATGTTAAATTACCAGAGGGTAATACCATGGTTTTTCCGTGCTTTTTGGTTTTGTCAGTTTTGTCCCTTCCTGGAAGGGATCCACATGAAAATGTTCTTGCTCTTGATCACATCCCGGCTGAAATTTGGTGGAAGGCCATGGATTTCGAAACCAGATTCTCCCCCCCGATGGCGTTTTTTTTTTTTTTTCACTTTTTCACTGTGAGTACAGTAAGAATCTTGGAAGATATGGCACACATCTGAAACTTCACGGGACATCAAAGAATGGTGAAAAAAAAAGCCACGTATGGGCTCCATAATTATCTTAAGTTTCTGGGACATCTTCGATACCAAGTAGTCAAAGCCCGACTGTTCAACGGTCATTAGATCCCCCTATGTTTGTTTGCAAGTGGTCTGCAAGAAATACGAACTCCGAGTTCTGTCAGACATTAGCTGCTGGGTGAACATCCATGGATTTCCCACCTGTGTTTGTCTGAAAAGTATGGTTATCCAATGTTATCCAGTATCCACCACTTTGTTGATCATTCATTTCTTGTTAAAATCAACAGGGGTAGAGCCCTTTTTTGTACCCAGCCCTTTTTGGGGGTCATCACTGGTGAAACGTTGCGAGGAAGTGGTCAAGTCTCGCCCGGGAACCATTTGGATCACTGGAGATCGCTTCCGCGTGCCATGAAAAAATCCGCTCCGGAGCCGTTTGGGAAGCGATCCGCGCTTCGCGATCCGTGGGGCTGGTGGATGATCTCAGAAATTGGGGCGTCCACAAAACGATTGGGAGACTGAAATCAGTTCCCATTTGGGTTAAGGGATGAAAAAATATCATTTCATTTTTCGATCACCGAGATGGGTATGGATCAATACCTATGAAAATACCATTTTTAGTGGGTTATTCACATCCATTTTAACCCAGCTATTTTGATGTGAACAGAAGGGGTACTATTGGTTTTGACACACTGCCAGATCATTTTTCTGGTGTGTCATGACTGAAGCTCACCTCCATTCTTGGACATCGCCAAGCGACAACATCCTGATTTGATGCAGCATTTTTTGTGGTCATCTGATTCACACATGTCCTAGGGGGGCAGTTTTTGGGGACTTTGATTAGCTATAAACCTCACTTCCAATGATTTAATGGTAGAAACCTGGGTTTCGTGTAGAATTTCCTTTACACTAACCAGTGAACACATTTTGGGCAAACATTTCCCGATTTTCTGGCGCCATGGAAGAAGACTTCGATGCTTCCCAGGGGGCGGTGCCTGCCTTAGAGCAACCTTATTGGAAACAGGGAACCAAAAGGGGCACTTCTATGAACTGTCGAATTGTTGGATTCATATGAATTCATTATCATGTTTGTCAGTTAAACAGAACAATCGCATACAGTCACTGTCCTCTGCTTGAAAAAACAATGATGTCACGGTGCTGTCATCGCCAATAAACAGTCTCGTTTCGTTGTCCGCCTCCACAGTTTCGTTGTGATTTTTCCATTTTCAGAGCTCGCTGTGTCAACCCAGGACCGATGAATGAAACCAATTTTGATAGCAGTCCCATAAAAAATCTATCCCTACTTTAGGGACCCCACCCAGGATCTTCTGAGTTTGGCCTTAGGACGACAGTCGGGGGCGCCGGGGATGGGGATGGTTCCGTAGGTTTATGGCCATGGGATCCATGGGTTTCCCCGATTGTTGTCCGGTTGTGGCGGGTCATTTTGACAGTTTGTCGCATGGTCGAGTCATTGCCAGGCCAACTCAAAATCAGCCAAGGTGGAGTTGTTGCCAAAAAGTGGCTCACAGAAACAGGTGGGTTTTTCTTGCGGAAATGAGCAAATAGACCCATTGCAGCGCAGAACCAAGTCGTCAAGAGTTTTCGGATGGAGAATAACACCACTCTTAGGCAGCAATGGAGTGCCCAAGCCCTTCAGTGACTTTGCATCGGGAAGTCTGTTCTTCTTTCAAGAAGATGTGAAACTCATGATTAGATCCCGAGCAAGCAACCAGTATGCAGGACTTACATTTACGTTTCAAGTTTTTACTGATTGCATGCACTTTTTTTGTTTGGTACACATGTTACATACACGTATATATATAATATAGACCAATTCTAGTTTAGTTGGCTGTATCCCAACATTTGCCAGCTCAGCTTTCATCAGCTCATATCTCTTTTGTGTTGATCAGTTTTTCCCGGAAAACTCCACACCGGGGTTCAGATTCCCAGCTTTGGCATCCTGGGAACCTGTGCAGGGTTTACCCAAAGATTTGATGGCAAAACATGTTAAAAACCAGGGTTTTACTCCATTTGATAGTAAAAACTCCAGGATTTCTTGCACCTTTTACCCGGAGCTCATCACTTCATTTCTCTAGGCCCGGTGCCTCTGACCTCGACGACTACGTGGACTTCGAGGTAGTTGTTTTGGTCGTATCTGGTGGGATGTCACCCAGAATAGCTCGGTCGGGATTTGTTTGGAAAGAATTTATAGGAATCCATTGATTTTTACTGATTTTGACCTAGTTTTAATATTTTTTAATGGGAACTGGAAGCCTGGTATTTTGTTTTGCGGATCTCAATTCTAGGATTGAGGCTTTCACCAGCGACCTGGATGGGCGTCCGGTCCAATTCTTTGGACAACAAGGTGAGTCATTCCGAAGAACGGTTGGTCCCACAATCATCATTATAACCATTATTTATAACCATTATAACCATCATACAAAGAGATATAAATGGTATATAAACGGTATATAAACAGTATAATGTGGGTATTTCAGATACCATCATTATAACCAATATAGCCAGTCAAAAGGATTTAAAAGGGGGAGGAACAACCAAACATGCGCCGAAATTGCTGGGGCCAGATGGGGTTTCCCCAGCTTATGAACATTTGCCAACTCGTTTGCCATGAAAGGAGCAAGGGAAAGACTTTTAAAATTTTACACGCGAGGATGAGAAGGGATCAGTAGAGGTCGCCACTCACCAAAACATCTCTTTCTCATCAACATTCTTCTCCAATCATGTTCACCCCCAAAAGACAGTAAAATGATGGGATTTTCAGGCTTTCCAGGTCTTTGACACACCCAGCTGTGTTTCAGCTTGGTTGTTTGCAATCGCGAACGGTGACCGCATCGTCTCAAAGAATTCACTTGCGATGAGAAGACGCTGCACACATTAGGGTGTTAAAGGCAGGACCCATTGGCCGTGAAGGTGTCAAGGTGTGACGTAAACTTATCCATGAATTCTGAACGTTGGCCCAACAAAGGTTGAGAACAAGATAGAAGGAGATCAAAACGTCCACAAAGTCCACAAACTGGATGGTTTCAAGTACTGCATTTGAGGAGAGCTGCTTTAAAGCTTGTGTTTGAGCATCATTTGGGGATTGAAAAAAATCCGACCACGGTGAAGGCATCTCCATTGCAGGAATGATCCTTTAAACCAAGATCAACCCTGAGCAACAGTGGCACCGCTAGACTCCACCACAATCCTTTTGGCGAATCCCTGATGAGCCGTGGATATCCGTGGATATTTTAGCCCAATTGCCTCCCAACGATGCGTTACCTTTCATGACCAGTGCCCTCCGCTCTGTGCCGTTGCCATGGCGTGGCGTCCGCAACTTGGCCGTGCGGCTCTGCCACTGGCGCTGCTGCTGTGCCAGTTGCGAGAGGCCGGCTGTGCATGGAATGAACTGATCACCTTGCGCAGAAACCACATATTTTATCACCAGCAAACCTAAATTAATACCGTAATACTATGAAATACTCATTAGTCATAAACATTCATATACTGTATATACTCCTAACATCTCCTAAGAAACCCAAGCAACAAAAAGCCTCCACCGGGGCCACGGGGCCACGGGGCCAGGCGCAGCTGCTCTTCAGCCAGCCCCGCCCGAGTCGTCCGCGTCCGGCAACACGTCTGCACGCCACCTCGGGGGATCCTGCGAGCATCGGCATCGTGGAGCCCTTGGTGTGGCTGGGCGCATGGCGCATGGCGCATGGCGGGGATGGTGGGGATGGGGTGCGGCATGGCCGTTGTTTTCCTAGCCATATACTGTCATAATCTGTCATATACTATGCTATAATAAAGCTGGCTAACAGGATAGAACTTCAACTGGGTGAAGTTAACGGCCCATATAGTAGAACAGGAATCCATACATTAACGAAAGCATGAAACTCTGCAAGTGAATCGGAATGAAGTTCATACATATATGGGAGTCGATCTAAAGATCCATGTAGGGATTGTTAATTACAAAGGCCGCCAGTGTTACAACCCAAGACCCCGCAACAGTTTTTTCTGAGCTCGCGAAAGTAAATCTTTATTTGGCGAAAGAAATGGCAAAAGTTTATCTTGATGAGGTGAGGTGGCTTAAACGGCTTAATCTTTTATTTTCCTAGGTGAAGTGAGAACCTTCTGAATTGCTATTGGCAGGCAGAAAATAGCACTATATTGTAATCAAGTGGAGCTGAACCCCCAACCACGATTCAGGGTGTGGATTTTTCAGTTGATTTGTAAGGTTTTTTTTTGCGAAAGTCTCGCGAAAGTTCCGCGAAAGCAGTGGCGAAAGAGAAGGTATCCATGGAAGCCAGTAGCCCACACAGCACCTTTGCAGCGGCAAGTCAAGGGAACGTGGTAAACAATGAAACTCTGCTATTTCCTTGGTGGAATTTACCCAGCATGGCCTTGCATCTGCCCTAGGCTGTTTCCCGGATCGCTCACACAGTTACCGTTTGCATGCTGTTTGAGTGCGTCTCAACAGCACAAAAGTCGATAGCTGGGCTGGAACCCCGCAAAAAAGCGAAAGTATGTTTTTATCCGCCAAGAACGGTCGTTTGCAGATAAAAGAATTTAGATCAACCACCGTATATGCAAGTTCGTAATTTTTTTTAGCAATCTACGAAAAACTGGGATGCACATTCAAGTAGCGTGTCAGGAATTGAGTGATGTAATCCAAAAAATGATCGTAACATGCTGCAACCCTCTGAATGAAGGGCGCGGCATCGCTTGGAACTCTCGCCGTAGCATCGCTTGCAACTCTCTCAAGGATCTCTCTCAAGGATCACTCGCAGGACCCTTCCCCACCCTCCAACAAAACCCTAAACATTCATAAATGGAAAGTTGAGAACAAACCATAACAAACCCACTCCACCCCCGAACATACCCTAAATGGTTCTAAGTTATAAGGCTCTAAGTGATGTCGAAGAGTTGTAAGTCATGTTGTGAGTTGTAAGTTGTGAGTGAGAAAATGTGAGAGTTGCAAGCGATGTCGATAACTTGGATTAATTGGAAACACCAAGGGGTAGGGACGCGGAAACTGCTTCAGTCTCCACGGTTTTCTTGGTTTTCTAGGCTTGTGGGGATCCATAGTTTTGTTACTTTCCTTGGTTTCTCAAATTGTTGTTGAGAGTTGAGAGATCAAGGGATGAAAAATGTAGATAATCGAGGGGCGAACTTGTTGCGGGCCAAAGGGGTGGAAGATTTCGATGATGAAACCAAAAAATTGGAGGGATGGAAAATTGAGTTACAGTATTGCAATGGAAACAGCAGTCAATGAGTCAAGAAGCCATCGGGAGGTCAAAGACGCAGGAAAGATGAGGTAATGAAATGACTGAATGCAACGAATTTTTAAACAGCCACTGGCGAGGACAATTTGGTTTGGGGAACCAACAATGCAAAAAATTGTTCAAAGGTTAACTGGGAAATTTCATGTCCATGTCGGATCAAATAACGCATAGCAACTCATTGCGTTTTAAGTGCTTCATGTTTCCGTTTGAAATGAAGGATCACTTTGTGGCCCAAAATGATTCAATTTTTGTTGTTTGAGCCAACAACCCGAAGTTCAGGAATTCTTTCTACAGCGCGAACCCACAACGATGGGTTTTTGGATTTTACGCCCAGTCTGGTCAATTCCTCAGAGAAACATACACTAGTGCATTTTTTTGGCCTGGGACTTGATCAATGACTTGGCCAAAACATGGCAAACCTAAGGGCAAGAAACCATTTAAAGAAATGAGTGGCACGGAATTCCAAAGATTAGATGTGACGTTGCTTATTTGAACAACATTAATTTCCTTGCGGTCTTCGGGTTGGAAACATATGACCTCCAACATACAAGGGTTTCAAAAACAGGGGCACCCATGCCGGAAATGCTGCTAAACCAACCAGTGGTTGTATCATTGCGGGCCAACTTCCAAGGTTCCAGATGAATTTCTCCACTTTTCGTTATACAGATCCCCACTGACTGCACTGAAATGTGGTGGTTTCAGTCATTTTGAAGTCCTTCTGGAAAGAGGGTAATTTGGTTTGGAAAATAGGATTCGTTGGTGCCTATCCAATGTTTGACGTTTAATTCCCAATTTCGCATCCAGATTTGTGGTTGAGTTTTGGTCCTTTATCATCTACGGTATATCGACCGAATTTGTGTATAAAACCAGTCGCATATACCAAACACCAAGATTGGGTGATTAATCCCCATCAAGTAGAACATCGTTATCATATTGTCAGCTATCTATCTATGTATCTATCTATCTATCTATCTACCTACCTATCTATCTATCTACCTATCTACCTATCTACCTATCTACCTATCTACCTACTTATCTATCTATCTATCTATCGATCTATCTATCTATCTATCTATCTATTTATCTATCTTTCTCTATATGTATATATATATATTCATTCATTTATTTCTTTCTTTGTTTTTGTGTACTAATTTAATTGTTTGTTCATTGGTTCGGTTTATTTATTTATTCATTAATTAATTAATTAATTAATTTATTCTGCTTTATTTTTATTTTTTGATTTTATTTATTACTTGTTACATATATATATATATTCAACTGCGAATGGTCCCTCAGAAAACAGTAGCAGGTGAAGCTCAAAGGTTCTCGGGAATATGGCTAGCAGCTATCCAAACAGATACGGCCCTGCAGTATCTAGCTCAGCTCTACAGCCTATTTTCCTTGGACAAGAACGACTACGATGGAAGCAGGTTCTGCCTTCATGAGTACAAGTGGTTTCACTTGCATCCCCTGGTCCCCCTCGTGATTTCTAGTTCATCAAACACGACAAGAGACAAACAAACAAGACACCAACCAACACACACAACCACTCATTCCACTGAATTGTTTTTGGTTTCTTTGCTGGTGTGCTGCTGCTGTTGCTCCAGTGCTTCTAGCCCTTGTTGCTTCCTCTTTCGCGAAGACCTCATATGTTCATCACTGACCAGTCTCCATCTATAGTTGAGGGTGTAGTACAACTCGAGTTCCTTAGTACCGCCCTTAGTCAGACTGTTGCTCAACTGTGCTTCGGAGTGTACCCACCTTAGTTTCAACCCTGTTGCACGCTGTGAATATTTCAGACACATGAGACTGAGATCAACCTTACGTTCCGCTCCTTTGATGGATAACTCACTAGTTTGAAGTTTATCATAAACATTGCGACTATCCGAAATTAAACAACCGGGGACCTGTTGAATCATTCCATCAACATCAAAAATGTTCACATCAACACTGTGCATTTCACTCCATTGAAAACGTGCATGATACATGTAATCATCCCCTGCTATGGCAGCATGTGCTTCGGCAGCTCCCGGACTCCTACATGGCTTGTCAATTTTGTTGGAGTGCCACGTGATCGGAATCACTTTTTCAACTTCACCCTCAAGCAGTGAAAGAGGGCCCAATCCCACAAGTACCCCCTGGGTGCTGCTGCCGTCTCTTCTGTTTTGGCCTGCGGCATCGGACCACGTAAAGAAACCTACAGGAACATGTTCTGGGATGGCATGTATGACCATTTTATGGTCTTTGCGAGCTTTGGCAAAATGCACCAAACGATTTGCTTTTAGCAAAACTTCCACAGTGCTGGAATTCACTTCTGATAGGAGTAATCCTACCTCTGCAGACAAGTGTGGGGCTATCTGTTGGGCACACCAACTCAAGGCCCCCAAAGTTGCCCTCAATTGGGACTTTTCGCGATCTGTTGTCGCTTCCTTTTCTTGTTTCCTACGCTGACTACTGACAAACACTTCTGGAATTTTCTCTATGTATGCAGACTGGCTCAAATGGTATGCACCGTCAGGTTGGAGATCCACTTTGACACCGCATTGGATAAAACTTCCACTTTCCCAGTCAGTCCACTTGAAGTGGTTCTTGATGTTTGCAGTCAACTGTTGCCATTCTGCGTCTTGATCCGGGCCAGCAAAAAGAAAATCATCCACGTGCCCAGAAATCATGCCGCGCAGTTTGCCTTGTGGCTTCCAGAGCCAAGTGCATGGGTCGGCCCAACTCTTGACAAGGCCAAGACCATCTAAGTACTCACTCACTGTTCTATACCACTCCAGTGGTGCATCCACGAGGCCATAGCATCCACGGCGAACTTGAGTGATGGTGCCTGGGCTGAGTCCCATGGCTGTACAAATCTCATCGCATGGTATACAGTAAAGCTCTGAAGGATACTGACGACCCTGCAGAAAAGCGCCTGTGACATCACCTTTCCAAACCTTCCAGCGGTATCTTGCTGCCGCTGCCAGTAATAACTGTCGCGACTGTCTCGTCATCACTGGTGATGTTGTTTCGCGATCCTCATAACTGGGATCTTGGTAGCCCAAGAGTATTGCTCTGGCCTTGGGCTTTGTTGTTCCGTCTTCCTTCACCTTCCATGTCAACAGCCATCGCATGCGAATGGCCTTCTCCACTGGAGGCCGCATGGACGCTGGGAGAGCTTCAAAAGCTCTGGCGGCAATGTAGTTCTTCACCTCTACTGCCTTGGCCTCTGCAAAACGCTGCTTGTCTTCAAGAGACAAATTTCTTTCGCTGACTTCCACCGCACGACGTTTGAGGGCTCCCACAAAGTAGCCTTCCAGATTGCTTGAAAACTGCTTCCATGCTCGGTTGGTCTCCGGCATGGAGATCTCCACTTCAACTGCAGCTGTCTCATCTACCCAGTATGCTTCACCATGTGCTTCAGC